AGCATTGAAACAGTTGTTTGTGAAGACGCATGACTTTGGGTCAGCGGGCCTTGGAGAACGAAGGGGGGAGAAGTCATGTGGCTCCCGCCACAAGGGCAATCGGAAAATTATTTAATTGCTGTGCAGGGACATGGGGATGCCCGAGTAAGCGCTACCCAGTATAGGTGCTTTAAGTTTTTCCAGTACTTTATATACACTCGGTGGACGCCAGTAAACTTATCAACTGGAGTGAGCTCTGTCTTTTTCTGCAAAAAACAGTACTATATGTTTCAACGACTTGAAAAAACAGAGGGTAGAGACCGTTTAGATGATTTGCTTGTACGACTGTAAGATGTTTTATGAAATCTTTTGTACACTGTTGCAAGAAATGGCTATTTATCTACATTATTTCCCTTAAAGAATAAGATGACAAAACTGCTAAATGACCTTCGTGAGGAGCATCCGGAACTGGTTCCACAGCAGAGTACGTTTTATTAAACTGTTACTGTTTGACTTATACTTACTCCCATAAACATTTCTTCTGACACACCTCCGCAGCGTACAAGCGAAGACGACTATCTTGCGCATTTATATCTAGGAGCAAGTACTGAAGTATCATTTATATTGTAAGGATTCTACCGTTTACACCTATGTGGTTTGTTAGCGGTCTCGCAAATAACTACGCCAACCTGTTTACAGCCAGAAATGGAAATTTTTCATAAACTGTTCTGCAAACCTTGGGTGATAATAACTGTTGATTTACTTGCCAGTAGGGTATCATTAAAAGTATTCTTATATCACAAGTGATCTTGAAGGATTTGTGGAATTGAAGGAAACAAAGGTTTCCAAACGCAAACAGGGAAAACTGTTTTGCTTTTATAAGCTTACTTGAGCGAAAGAACTAACAAAAGACTCTGCAAGCAGAAGAAGAAGAAGATGCGATCAGTTGATCAAGGATTTAATTTTCCTGACGTTTCGGAATCTGTTCGAGAATCCTTAATCATGGGTTATCGTATGATATTTGTGAGACACGTGCAGATTATGGTAATATGTGCAAAGATTGCACGGTATTTATAGTTCGTAGCGGTCCTCCACATGCGTATTATAATTATCAGCTGCTGTAACCACCGCTTTGGATCTTAATTGGTGCGGTGATGGCTTGATAATTTGCTTTCGACTCATTCATTGCCGCGATTTCGTTGTCTGCGTCGGATGCAGACGTTATAATTTCGCAACAACGATGTTCGCTGTCGTCAGAGTTGTTGCTGGGTCCGCCACTTCCTACGTGACTGATTCTCTTCCTCAGGAAATGTCTCAGTACGCAGTATGGGAACGGAAATTTATTGCGCTTGTTGACAGACTGTGAACCTGAGAACCATGATTCGAGCAGCTCGTGACTCACGCGGTTGTCACATCTTGCAATGATTTCGGCCTTGTTAAACTTTAAAATATGGCCGGGTCTCATCGAATGAGCTGCAACCAGGAAATTAGCGCCTTTCTTCCTCACCGCCGCTGCGTGCTCGGTTATTGGCATCCGGAGTAATCTCCCGGTTTCTCCGATTTAGTTGCTTCGTCCACAACTGCACCAGAGCCGATAA